TTGACCCCAGTACTCTTTCATGCCATGGCAGGGGGTTGGACTTGATGATCTGCTCATCCCTTCCAACCCTACTAACTATGAAACTGGTTAGCCTGTATCAGTGGTTTTCAATCTGTGGTCTGCGGACCCCTAGAGGTCTGCAGACTATGTTTATGGGGTCTGAGAAAAATTGACTATTATCAGTCAAAAGTATGTGAATACCCACACTTACCATTCAAAGGTGTCCATACTTTCATGCAAATTTTTTTAGGTATCTACAAATGAAAAAAGGTTGAAAATTACTGATGTATACAGTTGCACTGGAACTAACAGGGTATGTGCTAAGGACAGAAGCCTGTTAGGGACCCATGTTCAGCTTTACAAAAGAGTTGATTAGGTTTTCATGGAACTGAGAACTCTGCTGAATCTTATAGGCAATCCCCAGCACACGTGCCAGAGTGTGGCATATGAAAGCATTTTGCTTGGCACTCGCACCTCAGGGAAGGGGCCGGGGTTGCGCTTCCACAATAAGGATTATGCCCTTCTCAGCAACTCTGCTGTCTGGCTCTGGTATGCCAACATCTTAAAAGACAAGACTGTGGGTATTTTTATCACTCTGCCCAAAAATGTTACCAACCCCTGTTATAGCAAGTCTTCTGGCTTCTGTGGGTAACATGGTTAACCAAAATACTACTTGGTGCCTTCCTTCATTAAGATTCCAGTTCTACAAAGATTTCCTGATGGGCTTAACCTTTGTACCTTAGGTAGTTCCCCTGTGAAGCTATATATGGTAGTAAAATTAACCAGATAGGGGTCTGATGTAATTTCACAATAGGTTTCAAATTAATTATCGATACCTGCAATGAAAAATAAAACTCACACTTTTGGCAGTATACCATGGTGGTTTGGTGGTCTGTGGTTGAAAATGCAAACCATAAGCACCTGATAATCATATGAAGGTGTGATGGGATCTAATAAGCAATCCTAACAATCACACCTCTTGCTATGCCACAGGTGCATGACAGGAAGAACAACTGAAAAGCTGAAAGTTGGGTGCCTAACAATCAGCTGATTTTCAGCAAATTTAAACTACCCTGGGGGTCTTGAGCCCAGGAGCAGTCCCAATCAGCTGATTATTGTCAGGATCAGGACAGCCCTGAGGTTCCAGCCCTGTGGTGGTCCCAGTCTGTCGCTGGCTGGCAGGGACTACACAGAAGTTAAAGTACTGCTAGCTGTTGATCAGCTGATCAAGACTGATTTGGCCTTGAGCCCCAGAGTGGTTCTGATCAGTTGACTCTGGGTAAGATCAGGACCACCCAGGTTACCAGCCCTGGAGCAAAGTTGATTTGCCATCAACTGCTGTCAGGGATCCAAGGATTTGAGCTGCAGAACAGTCCTTGTCAGCTGATGGTCAGCTGATCATCAGCAGGATCAGGACTGCATCAGGGTTCCCCAATGCCTTCCTGATCTTGCTGACAATCGGCTGCTTGTTGGCTGCTGGGAACTGTTCTGGAGCCAGTTGCAAACCCCGGTGCAGTGTACCCTGCCACACATTCAGTTTAAGGCATGATGGAAACCAGCCAGTTATTATTTATATTTTGGGTAATAACTTTGCTGCTGGTTTCCTGTTTTATTGTGCCATTAATCCCTTGAATGTGTGGCTATTTTACACTTTAAGATGCAATTAACTGGTTAATTGCATCTTAATCTTTTTACTTTTTTATAGTTGACAGCTCTTTAATTCTCCTTCTTGTTTTCAAAGCAGGCATCAGTTGAACCTCAGGGAAAGAAGAGTGAATCTCAAACTAATGAGGAAATACTGCCAAGTATTCAGCAACCAACCCTGGTAAAACTTAGCATTATCTAAACATTTTTAAAACACAATAAACCTTTGTGTTTGTAATATTGCTTAAATAGGCAGGTCATGCTTCAAGCTTCCAAAATTAAAAGGAAACAAAATTGTGCTGTAAAACATATCACTCCATGAGTTTTATTGATATACAATTACTTTTATTTCCATCTTTTTTCCTCTCTCTCTCTCCCCCTGGATTTGATTCTCCCACTATTGGATGTGCAAAATTTTTGCCGAAGTCATTAGAAAGTGCTTTTCAGGGCAAGGAACATCTGTTTCTCTGTACAGTATCAAGGGACCCTGTTCTGGTCTGGCCCTTCAGCACTTCTGTAATACACAATTAAATACTTTATTGGGTGGTAAAAGAAATTAGCTTCTTGAGTTAAAAGAAGTTATATATTTGTTTGTTCTTTGTCTTTCTGTAGCAAACATTCTAGGTCTATACAGTTCCATATTCAAAACTGAGGAAGTTCTTAATTTTGCCCACAGCTGAGATATATGTATAATTTGGTTTATAAACTAGTGTGTCCTTGGTGCATACTTCAGATGTGGTTTTTCTTTTCAGGCTTTTAGTGTGTGCTTTGTAGGCATCCATTCTGATCAATCTGTGATCAGAAATTGTCATTAATATTTAGTGAGGTTCATTTTAGCTCCTTTAATAACCATTCCATCTTTCTTACAAAAATCCATTTAGACACAGAGGAATTTTGGTTCAGCTATATATGAGCAAATATTTTATCTGCTTTATAAAATTAACATAGGTAATGAAGAAAAAAATAAACACCAATAAACATTACGTTGAATTTGTCTCATATCACACAAGTGTCTTAACAAAATGTTCTGCCTTTTTATTATATATGGCAACTTTTCCTTTTCTCAAATAAGATTCCTGTAATTAAAAAAGAACTTCCAGCAGAAGAGAGTGAATCTCAGACTAAAGAAGAACTGTTAACAGACCTCAAGCACGTTGAACAGGTACAGTTTAGTACTATTATAGAGAAGCAGTAGCTTTTCCATACCTAAGGTTAAAGCCATAAAGAATAATGCAGCCTCCTTTTGGATACTTCTCTTAACTAGGTTTAAAACAGGTCTGTTCAACTCCTGAGTGGCCAGGGGCCACAAGACCGTAGAGACATGCTATATAGGCCTCATGCAACTTGGGCTGCATGCTGCTCAGACTGCATGCCATACTGAGCCACGGGTGTCCCCTGCCACACCACACTGATGCCCCTCTCCCCCATGGCTCCCCTCTGCCACACCACACCACACTGTTTGCACCCTCCCTTCCACTGCACCAGGCCACAACGTGTGAGGTTTCTTGGTACCCCCTAGCCCTGCAAAGGCCATGCTGCCCTGCCTGCCTCAGTCTTGCGGGGCATGCTGTCTCACCCCCACATACTCTCAAGGGTGGGTGTGGGCTGCAGAAGCTGGAGGAGGGAGAAGGGAGCCTGGAGATCCCACTGGCAGTAGCAAGAGAGCAATAGGGAGAGTGGTGCCCAGACTGGTAGCCCAGGGATTGCAAATTAAATCATTGGCAGCCATATGCAGCCTGTGTGCTGCCAGTTGGACAGCTCCAATTTAAAGGATTGGTTTGGTATCCAGGTTGTAGCTGTATTGGTTTAGAGGAAAAGGCAATCAGGATTCATAGTAGAGAGGGTAACTTTTATGAGACCAACATGATTTTTGTAGGATCTCTTTTAGTTTGGCATTCATTATCATACGAACTTTCAAGGCAAAAAAGAGTAGTATCATTTTTATCACGCTTATAATGGTAATACCGAAGGACCAAAGAATGGTGCCCCATGGTGGGCAGGCACTGTATAATAGTCCCTGCCCAGAGTTTCAGAATAGTCCCTGCCCAGAGTTTGCAGCATAAATAAATAAGGCACACAGTGGATGGGAAAACAGGGTGAGAATAAACTGACTATACACAGAGGAAAAAAAATAAAAACATTTTCTTCCTTTTATTTGTTGTAATTTTACATGGAAATTGAATAGCAACATAAGGTAAGATATGAATGCAGTGACTCAGATTCTCTGAGTGAAGTTGAGAGAGAAAGGGGAGGTATTGCAAAGGAAAGTTTGTAGCTTTTGATTGTGAAATAAGTTAATAAGTTTTGTTTTGGGATTTTTTTTCTTCTTTTTTTTTTTTTGGCCACACTATATTTTAAGTGCATTTTCTGATAACCTAGTTGTGTCTTCTATTAGATACTGAAGTTAGGCTTAATGTATTGCCATTCCCAGGTTTACCTGAAGTGCCTTCAAGTAAGTTCTCATATGAAATGGTAAAAATGGAAGTTCTCATTAGTTGCACAATTTCTCCTACATAGAACTCACTTTTGGCTTAAGTTCAGTACTTAATACCTTGGAGCACATTTTTTTTCCAATTACATAGGGAAAGCCATCCTTCTGTCCTTATAATTTAACCTTTGCTCTTTTTAAAATACGTTTGATCAAGTACCTTCCGCAGTTCTCAGTGTTTTTTCTTGATGACTAATTTTAATTATTGTTGTCTAGTAACTACAATATCTCCTTACATTTTTAATATAATAATTTTTCTTAAAAATTTAAATGTTTCTAAAGCTTTCCGTAAATAGCAATGTATACAGTATGCCTAACTGCCCACCTTCATTTTAGGATAAATAAAGTATGTCCATGAACAAATTACTATACATATATGAGAGAAAATAAAAGGAGTGCATGTATGAGATATTCCATAAACAGAATATTATGAATGAAGTTTACCTAGGTTGTCACCAGGATGAGAGAAAAGGACAACAGAGAAAATAATATTCTCTCCATTTCCCACCTCCATTTTGCAGCTATTTTTTTATCTCTATTATGTTAGCTGTGTTTGTCGTCTTACTTTTGAATTTCTTGACTATCTGATATCTCTTTACTCTCAGTTAACATGTGCAGACCTTTGAGCGAAGTTTAGTAGAATTCTGACAGTCTGAAGCAGCATCAATCAGTGCTTTAATAAGGAGAGATTTTTTTTCTCACTAGAAGCATACACTGAAGAGCAGTATAGGAAAGTAGTATGAAAACATGGATTTTTAAAGAGTTCTCAAGGATCTGACACTCCTAAAACAGTTTTAATCTGAGAATTCCTGAACTTCAATCAGAAATCTGAACATTTCCCTTTTGTATTCATTAAAACAATCACAGATTTGTCCATGGGTTAAATAACCTGATTTTCAATAGTTATTTTAGGATTTCAGTGATCATGTGATAATTTTCAGTTTTTATTCAGTATTTCAGAAAATAATCTTAACATCATATCTACAAAAAGTTATATTTTCTACTATTTCCCACCCTTAGATAAAAGAATCATCTATTGAAACACTTCCTGATCAGGCACCAGGAACTTTATGTCCACCTTCACAGGATTTCCCTTGTTTTCCTGAAAGTGAGGGCTCTAAATTGAAGCTGTTTTCTTCAAGTGTTCCTCTCTTGTCAAAACCAACTTTACCATTGCTTAACATTTTGGAGGAAGTAAAGAATGAGCAAGAATTACACAAGGCTGTATCATCGTCATCATTATCATTATTAGAGGTAACAGATTTTTTTTATTTGAATAACTTAAGTCATAGAGAGAAATTCTATGTTGTGCCTCTGAGCAAGTGAAGGATGGGTATGGCAAAGGTTGCTTTTGAATCCTACAACCTGCATTGTTCCAAGAGCTGGTGTGATGTCAGAGTTATAGCAGTTTCTACTTTAAAGCAGCCATAACAGATAGCTAAGCTCTGAATTCTTGGCAGCAAGTGTTACAGTTGCACCCCATCCTACTCCAGTATGGATGGAAAAAATCTATCTAGCGTACATTTTAGGCAGTGTTGTTTTTTCCATTCTGTTTTTTGCTTTTCAGACTGTATCCTCAGATGTGCTACAAGTGAAAGGAAAAGCAGTCATAAAGACTAAACCATCTGAAGTTCAGCAGAAGTTACCAGATCACCAGCTACAACACCCTCTGTCTTGGCTTTCCACATGGACTCCAAAGATAAAGTAACTTTTAGCCTTTTTCATTGTTTTGCAGCAAATATTGCACAAAACACTTGTAAAGCTATAAACACTGTTGAAAAAAGTAGTATAGTGCATGTGTTTGAAGTAGGGATGAGGTCATCTCCAGAACTCCAGACTTTATGGCTCAGAACTAATTCTGATCAGAATTTGCCATTTCTCCCTCTAACATTTTGTGTTTATGACTTTTTAAATTTATATGGCCAAACACATTCCTGGAATACACAAGTGGAACTTTTATTGATTTCAGCAGAAAATGGAGGTGCTTATTGCAGGAGTTGAATTTAGTTAATTTAATTCTAAGTATAATCTAATAAAAATAATTAAAAACAAACAGTGGAAAATATCACAAATTTATCACAAGCTTTTCCAGCTATAAATCATTTCCTTCAAATAGAGGGGATAGATTAAATATTCATTAACTTGAATCTGTATTAAAGTCATTGCTTATTCTTTGAAATTCAGCAATTTTAAATTCAAGAGCTGGCGACAGATGCTGATTACCTTTTTATCATAGGTAGCACATGCCATTTTGTAGTGTGCATGGCAATATAGAAAAAACAGCAATTTTTGCTTTAATTTGCCTGATCATAGTCATTTAATGTCTAGTAAGATTCTTTAGTTTTATGGTCTTCCCTGACAGTTAATATAATTCCCTTTATGGCCAGTTTTGTTTTGGTTTACTCCTTCACTTTACCCTTTACTGAGGTGAAAAAAAAATAATTATTTGCTTTTGTTGTTCTTAGGACCCTGAAAGGTTTGTTGGATACAGAAGAGAGCTTTTTTATAGTAGACCTAAAGTTTGTAAATGGATGTAACTTTCAATTAAGTAGCTGAGAATAGAGTCATGGGAAAAGAATGCCTGAGTTTATGAAACAGTCAAATTGGTATTTAAGTGACCCTTTGCATGCCATTGCTTATCTGCATTGCTTAAAGATCATTTAGTTAGCAAGATTATATATTAAAACAAATAGTGACAACAGACAATGAGAATTTTGCCTTCAATAAATAGTTACTGTCAGATTATCAGTGGTGCAGAAACTGCATGATTTTTCTAAAAAACTTCATTTAGTGCATTAAATGAGGGTAATGCAGGCCACACAGGTAGTATTGTTTCTTCATGTCTTATTTGCAAAGGGTGATAAATAGTCTGCTTAAGGAGAGTGTGTGCTATAAAAACACACACCTTTACTTGCAGCATGCCCCAAATATTTTAGGTTTTATTGATTATCCATCCAGTGAAATGATAAACTTCTGAACAAAATAATAAGAGCATAATCCAATTACATTCACATTAAAGCTGTTTTAAGTTACTTTTTAGGTAAACGAGATTTCTTGTGAAAGCTCCTAAAGAAGTTTTCAGCTGTCCAGCTTTTTTATATTTAAAGAGTCATTTAAAATTATATTTTTAAGAACTTGTAATAAGCTGCTTGCTTGCTGCTAAGAGTATTACATTTCTCATAAATTATTTTTTTAATGTTCTCGTACATTTAACATGTATTGTAATGTAGGAGGAATACAGACTTTTTAGTGCACAGCTATAAATAACATGATTTAATAGATAATACTTTCCCACTTAGGAATGCTGCATAAAAACTTTTTTTCTTTGTCCTAAAAATAAAACTTTGTGTGAGCTGTTTATTAAAATGCTGACCTGTGATTTCATGCACTCTTGAATCTAGGCTGATTGAGGTTTCAACTCTTACATTTGTTACATTATGAAATCTGGCTGTAAAACTATTTTCTCCACTACATTACAATCCAGTGATTTTCTTTAATCCAAATTAACACTAACACCTGTTATTCATCTTCTGTGTATCATGCCTATGAACACTCTTCTTAAATAGCCCTTGTGTGTGTGTGTGTGTGTGTATGTATGTAGATATATAAAAAAATATGTCTGCTTAAATTTTATTTTAAAGGCTTGTTCCTGTGTACTGTATTCAGGCATACTTTCATTTATTTCAGAGGATGTTTTGACTAGATTGTAGGATGTGGCCAAAAATGTATTCTTAATGTTTGAGAAAACTAAGATCTTTTCTTCTTGCAAAAAATATGGATTTAACTGAAATTAGTTTAAAAGTAATTTTGGTTAAATTGGTAGAAACCCTTTAAGGTAACTCTTTTGTCGTTTTATATTGGTTATCATATTTTTTTGTCTACAGTTATAGACAGATTTACATTTTGTTTTGTCAGGAGATAATGTAAATGTTAAGATTTGTTAATTTTTTTTATCCCATCCTCCTTCTTAGAGAGCAACATTACCCAGTTATGCATCACCTGTGTACTGCTTCTCCTAGTTTTTCCTTGCCCATTGATCTACAACTGGCTTCTAGAGTATATCATACTTTCAGTAGAAGAGGCCACGATATTTTATTTACAAAAGAAGAACCACACCATGAAGAGGAAAAACTATTCTACTCAAAACATATTTTTTTTGAGGATCAAAGTGAAAGAAGAAGGTATGGATCTGTTTTCAGTTTTGCTGTTATAACTGTTCTATAACTGTTGAATAACTGTTTGCTTTTGTAACTTTTCTGAAGACTTTACTTTTAATATGTTGTTAAGGTGTGTTTTTCAAAATAGTTTTATTCCTAGATCCTGCTTTAGGCTGGTACTGTACACATGTTCTAATAATCTCATTTATATGAATCTTAAAATTATAAAAAAAATAGATTTCATTTTGCTTAGAATGCTGAATTTATTCCTTTGCATTTGAGTTTAAAAAAATCATTGTTTTTATTTTAATGCTTTTAATGATTTAGGTGCCAAACCTGCAGATGCTTAATTTTTATTAAAATTATAGGACTACTCAAGCAAGTAAGGTAGTGTATCTGTATATTTGTTTGCAAAATTTGTTCTTATTTAAGGCTCAGTCCTACAAAGATTTGCTCAAAAAACATGACTTTGTCAGCTGAGATTTTTGCAAGCATTGATACTTGCTTATAACTTTAAGCACATGAATAATTTGATTGACTTCAGTGGAAAACTTGTGTATGAATTTATGTATGTATAGGATTAGAGCCTAAATAGGCCAATTGAAGTTGATAAGGTTTCCTGTGTGAATAATGGTTACTCATAGGAGAAGGTTTTACAGTATCTTTAACCTTTGTTCTGTGAGTATTTTGTTTATAATAAAAGTGGATATTAGCTAAAATGTTTTGGACCTATTCCAGCTAACAAGCATGATACAATATATCATATGAATGACCAATTAGGTAATTTTGCTTTATGAGGTATAGGAATGGTATTCTTTGGATTCTGTCTATTCACTTATAGTGTGCTGTCGTATCACTGACTTATAGTTTGCAATGCTGTATATCTCCAATAAAGTATATGCCTTAAAAAGAACTTAGTTGGAACTGAGGCATTTAGTATAATGTTGTAATCTATTTGGAGCTTCGGCCACCGCCAAATCAGCTGAATCTCTGAAGCAAACGGGCCCCATCCCTGCCTGCACTCCCAGCCCCATCAATGGCTGCCCCTCTTGGCCGCAGCATCCCAGCTCTTTAAAAAAAAAAAAAAAGAAAAGATTCCACACTCACTGGCAGCTGCTAGACCAGGGGGCGGAGGAGGCGACCCCTGCTGTACCCCACTGCCCTGCGCTGCATGGGGGGCTCTGCCACGAACCCCCATCCCCTGCCTGCTCTCCCAGCCCTGTCAATGGCTGCCCCGCTTGGCCCCAGCATCCCAGCTCTTTAAAAAAAAAAACAACGAACTCTGCACTCACCTGGTGCCAGCCGGGGGCGGGGGGGGGGGG